TGGGGGAGGGGGAGACGGGGGGCGGCCACCTCCGCGCGGGACGGTGACTCCGAGCAGCGGCTATAGGCCAGCTCACGTCTGCTCCTTTCTCTTTCAGAGTTCAACCAGACAGTCCAGGGTTGTGGAAATATGACAGACAAAAGCAGTCAGGATCAGCTGCTGTTTCTCTTTCCAGAGTTCAATCAGCAGAACCAGGGGGCTGCCCAGCTCGACGACGCCTGCTCCGAAACCCCCAGCAAGAAGATGCGTCGCAATCGGTTCAAGTGGGGGCCGGCCTCCCAGCAAATCTTGTACCAAGCCTACGACCGCCAAAAGAACCCCAGCAAGGAGGAGCGTGAGGCTCTGGTGGAGGAATGCAACAGGTAAAGGCTGCCCCACGCCGCCCGTCACCTCCTCGCCCGCCCCGCAGCCTTTCTTCCAAAAACTGCACACGATGCTGGGCTCTTGTCTTGCAGTCCTGGCCACCGGCTCATGGCACAGCTTTGCTGAGCTGCCTGGCTTCTTTTTGCCTTGTTTTCCCCATGTGGGTGATGCCCAGGGCTGAGCAAGCTCCATGATGGGGCAGGGAAGCTGCAGGGATGCTGCAGGGATGCAATGGGGATGCCGTGGGGATGCTGCAGGGATGCTGGAGGGATGCTGTGGGGATGCTGCAGTGTTACAGCAATGTCGGAGGGAGGGGGAATGGCTTTTACAGCATGGATATAAGTGGAAAGAGCAGGCGGGCATTTAGGAAGGGCTTACACGTCCCCCAAATTTGCCTGTCCTCCTGAGGCCCCCGGCTCGGCGGTGCTGGCGGAGGCTCCCCCCAGCAGCATCCTTGTTCCAACATGTCCCCTTGCACGCGCAGGGCCGAGTGTCTGCAGCGAGGGGTGTCTCCCTCCAAGGCACACGGGCTCGGCTCCAACCTGGTGACGGAGGTCCGCGTCTACAACTGGTTCGCCAACCGGCGGAAGGAGGAGGCTTTCCGCCAGAAGCTGGCCATGGACGCCTACAGCTCGGGCCAGCCCCCGCACAGCATGAACCTGCTGCTGTCCCACGGCTCCCCCCACCACAACCAGCCCAGCACCTCGCCTCCCAGCAAAATGCCAGGTAAGCCCTCGTCGAGGGCGCTCGGGCGATGCCGATGGAGCAGTTGCAGCGCTGGCTCCCGTTTCCGCTGCAGATAGGGGTGCTGAGCCCTCGGGGCTGTGCGTGGGTTGCTGTGAGGGGGAGGAAGATGCTCACCGTGGTCCCCACTGCATCCTCGATGAGTGATGGTGGTGCGGAGAGGAGCAAGCGCTGTCGCTGTGGTGTTAGGGCCGCGTGAGCCACGTGGCGGGGGCTGGATTTCTGTCCTGCCGAGGATAAATTGGCATTTGCTTGGTTGGTTTAGTTCACCGGAGTCCCCGTGCAGGCTGGACTGGGCAGGGGAGGCCATGCCTGGCAGGACGGGGAGGTGGGCTGCTCTGCGCCTGACGTACGGATGCTGGGAACGTGGGATGCAGCCCACTGGGGAGCACTGGTTTTGGAGGAGGGGGTGCACAAGTGATGCTGCAAAGCCCATAGGAAGACGTGGCAGCGCATCCTGGTCTCGCTGCAGGGCTGGAGCTGGCCTGGGCTGTGTGTGTGGTGCTGCACCGTCCCCGTGCCGGAGCAGAAGGAGGTGGATGAAGAAAGCTGCTTGAGGGGTGCAGGGCTCACCTCAACCTCCATCTCTCCACACCACGGTCCGGCCCTGTTGTTCATAGTGAGGAGCTGACTGGGGAGAGCAGACCCGCGGAAAACTCCTTGGGGGATTTAAGCAGGAGATAACGCCTCCAGGGAGGGGGCTGCATGCCCGGGGAGGCTAATCAGGGCGGGTGGGGGCAGCATGGCGTGGGGCGAGAGGCATTGTTGGGAGAACAATCCCCATTGTCCCTCTCCCTGCCCTCTGCAGCCAACGCACCAGCCCCCCGGCTGCGCCCCAGCCGCCCCATGTCCCCCCTTCAGCCACGGCACCGGCACCGGCACAGCCCGGCCAGGGAGGCTAAAACCAGCCTCCTCTTGGAAATGACCCTGCCCGGCTCGTTACACACACCCAGCTCGTTACAAAGGCAAATTAAAAGAAACCCGTGTGGCGGAGAGTCCCTGTGGGAAGGGCAAGGTGCCTGGGGAGAGGAGGCTGAGAGCTGGGGATGGTGCCAGTCTGTGGCCGGACGCCGGTCCTTGGGCGTTAGCAAGCCAGAGCAGCCCCCAGAGCGGTACCCGAGGGATGCGCCAGCTCCAGGTGGGTGTGCGGCATCCGACCCAGCTCCCACCCGGGGGAGGGACAAAGCAGCATCCGACCCGCTCCCGGGTACCGCTCTCCCCGTAGGGCCGGCCCCGGCGCTGACCACAATGTGACCCTGCCCCAGGAACGCCCCGCCCAAGGGGACAGGGAGGACGTTTGCCCTCCTGTCACCGGCTGATTGCTTACAAGGTGCCCTACAAGCACATTGTCAGCAAAATCAGCTGTTTTCAGTGTCGGCCGACGGGCTTTACAATACCCCACCAGCATGCAGCCCCGCGTTGTCATGGCGTTGTCCCCCCTGTGCATGCTTAATTGACAATTAAGCTGAGGCTTTGAACGAACCCCGCTGCCTTTGATGTGCCCCCGTCCTGCCAGCACGCATGCAGGCACCCCGCGAGAGCCTTTGTTTTCTTCTATTAGGGGACGGCAATTACTGTAACCACGGGCATTTATCTGGGGGCTGGAGGGCCGTTAAGCCCCAACCTTTATTTTCCTGCTGGAGCAGTGGCCAGCAGGAGCCGGCCGCGGCTATAAGGCCGATGACAGCCCATTTGGAGGGGCTTTTGAGCAGGGCAGGAGTGATGGCCACAGCGGCAGCGAAGGGCCCCTCTGGAGGGGTCAGGAGGGCTCGGCCGCGGGAATTTGTTGGTGGCCAACGCTCATATCCATCGGCCGTACCGAGGAGGAGGAGGAGATTGGAACAGCGAGGGCCACCGTGGGGTTTTAGGGCTGGTTTGGAGGTGATGGGCAGGGATGGAGCTCACCCGTGATTGCTTTGGGGTCACTTGGACTGAGCCGGGTCCAGCAGGCTTGCAGCTCCCAAAACGTCGCCAGGTCCATCGCTGCTTAAACCTCTTCCCAGAGACGTTTGGGGACCCACCGCCTCGGCGGGGCGCAGGGCAGTGCTGGCGGCTGACCGCTGCCTGGCTGACCCCACGCGGGGCCGGCCATGCTGGGATTTGAACTGCCCTTGCACCGCGTGCGGCGGCGTCTGGAGCGCTCAATGCCTTAACAGCTTAATGACGGCGCTGGGACGCTGCCCGCGGCCTTACCCCCGCGCGGCCTCATACCCCCCCTCCCGTGCCCGCAGACAAAGAGGGATCGCCCGCTCCTCGGGACGTCAATGGGGTCTTGCGAAAGGGCGTAATGACGGCCGGGCCAGGGATAAGAGCTGTAAAAGTCAAACATCCTCCCGGCCTCTTCTCGGGGACCCATCTGTCAAGCCTCAAGCTGTAGTTTTTAACTATTTGGAGGTAAATACTTAAAGCCTATCTATCTTGGAGGCTTCTCTCAGTCTCTGGACTTTTCCCTTCCTACGGGGTATTATCAGCGATCTTGGTTCCCTGTTTGATTTGAAGGTCACTCGGGGCTTTATCTCGGTGCCATGCCGTAGACTCTGGCTTATGCCATTTTTATCTTCAAGAGCCCTGAAGACAATCAGTGCATTGATGAGATTAGGTGACGCACCGCCCCGCTCGCCAGCCGCCCCCCCCACCTCCCGCCCTGCATACAAAGGGCCGACCGGCGCCCGTCGGACCCCACAAAGCCCCATCCCCACGGCCGGGGGTCACAGCATCGCCTCCGTCCCATCCCGGGGCATCCTGCACCGAAAGGGGGTCGAGGTCTCCATCCATCCATCCATCCAGCAGCTCCTAGGCTGAAGGATCAGGGAAATACCAGAGCAATCACTTATACGCGCACATATAGATATTTATATGAATGTACATTATTTATATATACTTTTAGATATCTCTATAGATGGAGATAACAAACACAAAAATAACTCAGTATCACCCCTGAGATTCTTCCTAAACCCAAAGGGCAATTTAAGTGTTTTAACTTTTTCTTAAAGAGCCTGCCAATAAACCCTCGGTCCAGAGGTTCTTCGGTTTATATCTGGATCCTACGCGTTGTTCCTCGGGGGATGTGCTGGTTCTGATTGTGGACCCGGTGCCAGCGGTTGTAATATTTTACTGTTGGGCGCATTGTGGGGCTCGGTGGGTACAGTGCGCTGTTAGGAGCTTTTCCCGGTTTTATGGGGGGTAATTAGAACTTTATGACAGGAGCAAAATGGGAGGGTCCAGTCCCCATAAACGGGTTTATAATGGATATAAACTATGCACCTCTGTAACTTAGCAAAATTAACACTTTAGGGACAATTTGAGTGGCAGCCCAAAAATCAGAGCTGCCCTCAGCGCTGCCTGCACCTGCATTTGGGAGGGTGAAACGGTCCCGTCACCGACCCGACGTCAATAGGTGCAGCATCGCTGAGTCCAGTGTGACCCCAAAACCGATACTTTGCCTTTCTCTCCACGCTGGCGGCTGCATCTCCATGGGTCAGACTGAATCCCTGCACCACCCCACTCATCGGTGATCAGGTGTAGTGTGACCGGGGCCGTTTTGGTGTTGGACACCACCGGCAATTTGCAGGATGTTTGCAAAACTCCGGGCAAAAGTGCAGCCTGGTGTCGGGGCGAGCAGCCGGAGGAGGTGGAGATGTGCCATGCGATGGCAGCAGGGACTCCTCATTTAAAAGTATAGTGAGTTGGTGTTTGTTTTTTTTTTAAAGTACAATTTATTCATATCAATATGACTTAAAGCTGGTGAGAACCAAGCTGCTTCATGGCTTTTGCCTGCCGAAGACACAAGATTGGTGTGTACCTCGAAAACGGCACAAGCCTGTGATGAAAACAGCAAAGTTATCAATCGCTGTCCTATCCCCCTCCATTGCTCTCCCCACCCCAAAAGTGGGATTCAGGGAGTGGGTCTGGCACTGCTGAGGAGCGGAGGATGCCGGGGCTGGCTGCAGAAAGCCGTGGGCGCACGGGCCGCCCTGTGCCCTGGGGACCGCGGGGTCCGGGGGCTGTCACGCCGCCCGTCCCCGTCGGCTGAAACACAGGGTTAAGGCTGCGGGAGCCGGACCCCGCGGCTCGTCT